TTTGCCGTGGCGGGAACGCTTCTTACTCGGCTTCAAAACAACAACCGATCCATCTTTCTTTCCTTTTTTCATCTTGTTGCCACCGACGAAACAGCACAAGATTGGATTCATCGTGATCGAAAGCGTAGCAACACAATCACAGATTATAATTAAGGCTAACAAATATAAGCTTTTCTATTCTTTAGTTCGTTTTGTTTTTGGATTTCTCAATAGTGAAACAAGCATGATATTATGTCCTTTTTTATAGTACATCCGAAATTGCCGCTGTCTTTGAAAATGTATTTGTTTATAATAGAAGTGTACGACATATAGCCTATCTGTTTCTTGAAAGATGCAAGAAATTTTCTTCTTGATTCATTAGTTGAACTTGACATATATATATATAAGGTCAAATAGATTGAGATATTCGTTTATATAATATAGGTTGTATAGTTTGAAATCACAAGAAAATCAATCCTCCACGCTTGAAGAACATCAGCTGCTTTCTCGAGTGAATAAAGGTTGAAAACTGGTCATGACAAGATAAAGACATGGTAGTGTGAAAGTTAATCACTGGAGTTAAAGATGGCCAAATGCTATGAATCATGACGAGCTAAGTATGTGTTGCGAGCTATGTGCTGAGTTAGTCTCTGTTGCATCTTTGCTGAAGAAGGTAAAATAAAATCTGTGTTAAAAGTATTCAAAGCCAGTTTAAATTATGACATGAGAACTATCATTATCAGTTTAGTTCCCATCATGCTCTTGATTAAATGTGGCTGTGTTGATTTTGTTATTAGTTGCTTGGTTCTAATAGCTGAATTCAGAAAGTCCTGAGTGTTCCAGAGATGATTCGGCTCTCCTTACATGGTCGATTTAATCAGTTTAAAGCTTTGTGTTCTTTTTGGTATGTAAAAACAAAGAAGAGGAGTTGGGCTTGTGAGTTTCACGTGGGTCTCAAGGTGACACAATGGGCCTCAAAAAAAGATAAGTGTTTGGCCCAAAATAAAAAAAAGGAGGCGTTTTGGTTGTGTTTAAGGAACCGCGAAAGAAAACAAAAGGGGAGCCAAAAGGTCATCTTCTTCGTTGCCTAAACCCTAACAAAAGGAAGAAACTGTGTGTCTTTGCAACTATGGTGGACGGAACTCGTCAAGGTGCTATCAAGAAGAAGAATCAAGGAACTAGTGATGCTAATTGTCCTCATCTGACCGACAAACCAATCGACGGCTTGGAGATGATTGTTCACAAACCAACAAACGGTGTGGATAACGCCAGTGAAGCTCGTGACGGTGCTGCTTCCGCCAATTTCGAGTTTGGAATTAGCTGATGTCTTTAACAAAACCGATTTCATGACTTCCGGTGGAGATGGAAACTCTAAAATTGGACAAGAAGGATCAAGAAACAAAGAAGAATTGGAAGAGAGGTCTAAATCTGACACAGAGTAGGCTGTGGTAGAGAAGAAGTTTGGGCTTAATTGAAAAGTGGGATTGCGTTTACAAAGAAAGAAGCTGCTAAGGCCAAGTCAAAATCGAAATTCAAGGCAAAGGTTGGGAATCCTTGTCTCAAGTCGTCTGCATCAGGTGGTGAAGCAACCATGAAGGCCACTGCTACACAGCACACTGCTACATCTGAGCTGAGCGTAAGGCCTCATGGGCTTGAAGAGTGGGCTGGGCTGAGCAAGGATGGACGTGACTTGATGCTCTAGGTGAGCTGGAGATGTTCCTTGGAAAGTGAAGATGCAGCTGATTGAAGCGATGCCTGAAGCAGTTACGAAGTACTTCAGAAAGCGGTGCAAGCATATGACGTGAAGTCTTAAGCGACGTGGGCTCAAAGAGATGGGCTTAACTGGATGTGTGAAGCTAGCTTAGAGCCCAAGAGGACGCAGCTAAGCTAGAAGATATTCTTGGAGAGAATCTAAGAAGATATATTTGGAAAGGATCCAAGTTTGAAGACCTTCTTTATCTTGTGCTAAGAATAAGGAAGGAGAATATACTCACGAAAATTTGAAGAAATCAAGATCTTGGGTATAAATAGGTTAGAGTTGACTTTGGGAAAAGTTAACACAATTAGAGCTTATGTCTTAGCAAAAGGGATTCAAGGTTGTCTAGCAAAAATGAGATCTTGAATCAAGGGGCTAAGGGGTAGAGAGTGGTTCACAAGATTATGTGTGACTTGTGAACGTGTGAGGCTAGGATTGAAGTGTGAGTGAAATTTATAAGTGCACGAATCATTCGATCTAGTAAAGCGTTTTGAAGAAAAACCCCTTGTGTATTGTGTTCGTTTCCTGTACCAGTATCTGCAATAATCTCTGTAGTAGTAGCTGTTACATTTTCATTTTCTTTCCCTTTTTACCCTTTTTCACATCTTTCGACTTCTTCTTCTGCTTGCGACAGCCAATCCGGCGCCAAATTCTTTACACGGAAAATGCGAATAATCATGACACTTTTTTCCTTATTATTATAAAATTGTTCTAACTAACTGTAAAAATTATTTAGTAATTTTCATAAAAATCATAATATATGATGCATTATAGAGTATACATATTCTCCCAAGAGGTAACCGATTAAATTAAATCTTACATTACATACATATATAAATAATAAATCACACACAAGAAATCTATCATCATCTCTTAA